AAAGGAACAAAATGAACTCAATACCCAAGACCCATTAAGCCCAAAAACAGGCCCACTAAGCCTATGGCCTAAAACCCTAATCTAGGTGGCCCAAAAATGCAAGACCAAAACATATAATTCCTACACTACTATGTTATGTACAAATAAGGTGGATCACTATAAAGCCCATATGAAGAGTACCCTGGGCCCACCAAGCTTTGAAGCAATCAAATCTTCTTGTAGTCTCCTAGCCATGGCTCTGGTGGTTGGACCCTTGGTCCATGCTCTTCCATCAACAATGCTTTTCAAAGAACCGACATGTGGAAAGGTTGATGCCTTGAATCACTTGGGATAGGTTGCACCCAACAAGGCTCGCCCATACTTAAGTTTTTCAGAAAAAGAATTCGCAGGTGGTGAGTGGAACAACTGAGTGGGATTGTACTATATATATATATCACTGCTATTGCCTGTGATTAATATCAATTATAATTGCAACACTTGTAAATTACATAGAAGAGTTTTGAAACTTCTAATAATTGTTCATTAATCAAAATTTTTCCCTTTATTTCTTATACAAAATGTAGATAGAATTAAGTTTTAAACTTGTACTATCTACTTGCTATCAAAATTTCCTAGTTTTTAGGTAAAGGGTTGTTTTGCTGTGTTGTTAAACTCGTGATCTAGATAGTAAGATTGCATGATCTTATGATCTTGTTGCCCACTCTAAATTTGGATCTCACAAAGTCACAAATAGGTAAGATTGTAGTGAAAGCATGCGAGTTTGTCGATCCTGTTAGGAACCAAGAATTAGGAAAGAGAAAGAAAAGAAAGATTTTATTGAATATGTTGAAAAGAACAAAAAATAGGAGAGACATATCTCCTCCAAGGGTTTCCCCTTCACAAAGGATTTCTCCTTTCACAAAGAGCTAATGCTCAATTTACAAATGTGAACAAATCTAAATCCTCCCCTCTGCCAAGTAACCTCCTATTTATAGATGTGATGGGCCTAGCCCATGATATCTTTCTAACTAACAACTATTCTAATTTCCTTTATTCAATATCCTAACAAAAAGAGTGATAGATAACTCTTCAAACCTTCTTTGTCTCCCAAGATCTTTCATCCATGAGGTGCATTGTTGGAGAAGAAACTTGAAAATGATGGAGAAGGCAAGGAATGGTGGCACCAATTCTCAAGGAGAAAATAAGGCAAGAAAGTGACTCACCACAAGGAAAGAATCTTTGATAAGAGTTACATATGGAGTTGCACTCTATGAGAGGAACTCAAACTCTTGAAGTTGAGAGAAAACTCCCTCATTCTCATAAATGTTCAAAAGTGACATATATGGATGCTCTCATCTATATATAGAGTTTGTTAGCTTGTGGTACAAGTTCAGCTAATCAAGGTTAGGTGAACCAAGGTTAGGTTAACTTGTACTTAAGTCAACTAACTATGGTTCTCAAAATTTGAAATTCAAATTCTAGGCGCCACAATCATCAGATCTAAACTATCCATTGAGAGCTATACAAGTGGCATTGTGTGGATGGTGTGATGATGGGTGTGGAAGTAAGAAAGGTGGTTGAGAAGCAAACATGCAAAAAGTGAGACTAGGTATTAAATATGTGACTAGGTAGGTGTTGTGTGAAGCCAATAAGAGTGTGGTGGACTTAGAAGTGGACTTCCACTTCTAGGAAAATACTCTCTACTATATGTTGGCCCAAATAAGCCCAATTAATACATTTTCCAATTTCTAGTTGTACTCCCCCTAAAATATTAAAAACACTCCTAAAGAAAAAAATTACAAGGAAATAAATTCCTATTCTAATTAATCAAAATACAAGGTCAAAATAAAAGAGTTATTTACAAAGAATATATGAACTACAAAAGGTAACTCAAAGCTCAACATGAACTTGGGCCTTCCTCCCTTATCTTAGCTCACTCCTCTTGGTTCTTTTTGGACTTGATCCTTAGTCATGATTGCATCACTATCTCTCTAACAAATCTGCCTTGCTTTCTTGGACCATCCTTCCCTGTATCTCTTGAAAATCTCTTTAGCTGTCTTGCTTATTCCCTGCATATCTTTGCGCATCTTCCCCATCTTTGGTGCTACTTTAGTGTTTTGATTTACTTTGTAATCAGTAATCACTGAAAAAATGGCTTCTGCTGCACAAGGTGATAATGTGCCGGGGCTTGTGGTTGTAGTGCAGTGGCTGGTGGTTATTTATCTGACTAATTATGAGTTGTTTTTTATGTTATGTTCATGTTATTTCAGTTTTAAGATTGCGCTAATGCTGTTTTTTGTAGGAATTTTCCCCTATTTTCTTTCTGTGTGTATATTAGTATAATTTTATATTTTGGTAAGATTTTACGATCCTTGTTACAATCTTACATTTTACAATTTTGCAATCCCTTCCCAATCCTAAGAAGAACGTCAACCTTAACATTTTTGCTGACCACAAAGACATCAAACTCAAGTTTTGCTAGATTGTTAGTATATATAACTGCATCAATACAAAACACGTTCTTTTGACTAACATGCTTGTTCAGTTCTCCATACAAGTGTGATTATGTAGCTTGGTTCCTCTTCTACCCAATTCCCTCATGTAACTTTGCATACAAATAATCCCCTTTTCCCCCCTACCTTGATAAGTAGTAGCTGAACCTACGCAAGATATGGTTGGTCTCCCTCGCTGGGTTCCCCTCGGTCTGAAGCAGAAAGTAGAGGGAAAGAAGAGAGTGCAGAAGAAAAGAAATTAGATAACGAGAGGTGTGCCTTTTGAGAGTGGCAGAGCGCTCTATTTATAGGCATCAGGCATCGCCAGAACGACCTCTTCTGGACCTTTAACTCACAACTAAAAAATCACATCCAGAACGTCCCGTTCTCAAACCAAAACGGCCTTTTTCCCTACTGAAAAAATATAAAATGAATGTAACAACAAAGGAGGTTAAATGGAGTTAAACTCTCCAAGTAACCCACCCTAAAATCAATATACAATAACTAGTTAAAAGCAAGTAAAGTGCCTCACAAATACAAAGGCAAAAATAAACCTATACAAAGAGACTACTATATGTACAAACATATGAAAGGTCTTTAATATCATCCCATTCCTCTTGGTTCTTTTAAGATATCACCTATTGGATTCCTTGGCCTTGGCCATAGTCTATCACCAACAACCAAGCCGAGTATGAGGCGCTTCTCGCGGGGCTAAGGCTGGCTCATGACCTCGGAGCTCGGAGAGTGAGTTACAACAGCGACTCGAAACTCATGGTAGAGCAGCTCAGCGAAACGTATCAGGCCAAGGACGTTCTCTTACAACGGTACTTCCACATGGCATCACAGCAGATCTCGTCCTTTGACGAGTTCACCATACAACATGTACCGCGAGAACAAAACACCAGAGCCGACCTCCTTTCAAAGCTCGCCAGCACCAAACGCCTTGGACAACATCAGACCATCATCCAGGAGACCTTACACTCACTTAGTCTAGACGACAAGATCGTCAACACTAGCGACAGTGAGGAACAGGGATGGATGACATGCATCTGGAGCTACTTGAAGGCAGGAGTTTTGCCCGTAGACAAGGATGAAGCTCGGAAGATGAGGTTGAGGTTGGCCAAATTCGTGATCGTTGGCGACGAACTGTTCAAGCGTGGCATCTCCACCCCACTACTCAAGTGCTTAACTGCACCCTAGGCAACCTATGTCATCGAGGAGATCCACCGAGGCATATGTGGCATGCATTCCGGGGCACGTTCAATGGCGACCAGAGTACTCCGAGCAGGATACTACTGGCCCACTTTGAAATCGAATTGCCAAGACTATGTACAAAGGTGCAAAGAATGCTAGCAATTCGACAACTCACATCAGCAACCACCCGAAACTTTTCACCAGATGATGTCGTCATGCCTTTTTCCCAGTGGGGAATGGACATCCTAGGACCATTCCCCCCAGCGAAGGGTCAGCTCAAGTTCCTCCTGGTGGCTATCGACTACTTCACCAAGTGGATCGAGGCATGCCCACTCGCTAAGATCACCAGTGAGAACATACGGAAATTCACCTGGAAGAATATCGTATGCAGGTTCGGGATACCCCATTCCCTTGTTACTGATAACAGCCGATAGTTCATCGCACAGGACTTCGAAGACTTTCTTCGGGAACTCGGAGTCAAGCATCTTCCGACCTCTGTGGAACATCTGCAAACTAATGGCCAAGCCGAAGCAGCTAACAAGGTGATACTCCGAGAACTCAAAAAGCGCCTCGGGAATGCCAAGGGGCAATGGGCTGAGGAACTTCCTAGCATCCTCTGGGCATACCATTGTACCCCCTAGTGAACAACGCAAGAAACGCCTTACAAGCTAACTTACGGAGCTGACGCAATAATCCCAGTGGAAGTCAGAGAGACATCACACCGACGCCAAGCTTTCAACAGCGAACAGAACTATTCTTAATTTTCTAGTTGCCATGTTATCTTACTGCTCTCGACAGAAAGCAAATAATCATATAGAAGGAAAGGAAAGGAATTGGAAACAAAAGCCTGGCTTCTGGTCTATTAATACTTCAACTCTTAATCATGGTGGCTAAATACAACCTTTTCTTTTGGTTTGAAAACCTGGGGAGATCAAAGTTGTACCAGAATTTGGATGTGTAATTGATTTTATTAGTTGTACATCAACTCGAGAAGCATATTATGAGCTTTTCCATGTGCTATTGCAACACTAACTAACTAAATCAATCTTATCTTATCTAACTAATAGTGGAGCATTATTTCAGATCATTAGTGGAGCATTATTTGACCGAGATTTTCTTTTTCTTTAATATTTTGATAAAATATCACAATACTATTCCAAATGGCAGTTTTTTTGTTCTTTTTTTTTTTGTGTGGGGTGATTATTTTAAAATTCCTTTTCTTCATTTTTTAGCATTTTCAGATATTTTGAACAACAATAACAACGGTTGCATCGTTCTTGTATATACTGTACCGTATAAAATAATTTTACTTGGTCACTGGTACTGTTCATGCAGAGAAAGAGGTGCTCGAGCGCTGGAAGAACGATTGGCTGCAGAGAGGTTGGCTGCTGCGCGACGTGAGTTGCAAAGAGAAGCTGAGGAAAATGTATAATTCCCCAGCTTTTGTAAATTCGGATCAGTTCAGCCAATATGAAACTATTAGGAGTGATATTTTCAAAGGTCGTACAGTAATTAGAAATTTTGGTTTAGATGAAGGAATATTTTAATGTGCATTTTGCCTTGGATTATGATCTTTACAAAACCAAAGGTTTCTCTTTCTGTCATATAAAATCTACTTTATTCTGTACTTAATAAAATATATAGAATCTAAAGAATATTGCGATTGTTGTCCCAATGTCCCCCCATATTAATACTAACGTTATCATGTAATTGCATGAATAAGGGAGTTACCATGTCATTAGCTGTCCATCCAAGTTCTTGAACATGGAAGATGTTTGGATAAACTTTTTCAAAAATACTTTGAGAGAAAAACAAAAGAAAGAAAAATGAAATAAAATTATACATAAGCTAAAATTAGCTTATTACCTCTTCTGGACCTTTAACTCACAACTAAAAAATCACATCCAGAACGTCCCGTTCTCAAACCAAAACGGCCCGTTCTGGGGTGCATTTAATACTCACAACGGTCATATTTTGGAACGGCCCGTTCTCAACTCTGGAACGACCCGTTCTCAATTTGGGAATGCCTTGTTCCCATCTTAAATTTGTAGACAATTTTTGTATTTTGGAACGGCCCGTTCCAGTTTGGGAACGACCCGTTCTGGGATACAAAATCACTCTCATTTTAGTCGTTTGGAACGGCCCGTTCCAATTTGGGAACGACCCGTTTTGGGCTACTAAATGACCCCTATTGGGCCTTTGGGCCCTCAAACAATATGTGAAAATCGGGCTGTTACAATTCTCCCCTCCTTTTAGAAATTTCATCCCCGAAATTCACCTGAAAACAGAAATAGGTAGACTCCTTACGTCTTGCTTTCTAATTCCCATGCAACTTGACTATTTTATAGATGTACAACTCTTTCAATTTCACCAAGGAATGTCTATTATCAATAAGGGTAAGACAAGCAAACTTGGTGAGTCTATCCACTATAACCTAAAAAGAATCAATTTCTTAAGCATTTCAGAAAAACCTATAACTAAGGTCTATCTACACACCATGTTGCTTCCAAAATGATACGTCTAAAGGCTACAAAATTCCTAAAGACTTTGAGCATACTAAACACGAGTTCACAAATTACTCTATTCCTCTCTCCACCTAAGGCCACTACGCTTCCGCTGCGCCACTCTGATACATCTTAGTAGCTCCTAAATGAATGTTAAAAGTACTCTTATGTCCTTCCTCTACGATCATCTTCCTTAATTCAAGATTACTAAGCACCCAAGTTTTGTTCTTGCACCTCAAAACAACGTCGATTTCTACTCAGAAATGGTTATCTATACTTCTACCAATCTTCTCCACTTGGTTCCCTAAGAAAGGATCTGACTCCTAGGCTTCTCTAATCTCATCCATTAATTCACTAGTCACTTTCAACATAATCAATTCAATGCTCCTAAGGATAATCTCACACAC